TCATAAATAATATGAGAAACATTTTCTTTTTAGCTCCAAATTCTCTTCTTTTTATCTAAAAAGTTTTGTCCTCATGAATCCATTATTTTATACATTTACAAGAATTAGACAAATTTATGGTTTTGGTGATAACTATGTGTAGTATGTTTAGGTTGCTAATGAGACAGAAGATAACATTGCCTCGGTGTTAATACAATTTCATTATTTTGTTTTCAGTAAAGAAAGATAGTGATGATCAATTGTAACAGTAACAAAAATAACAAGTTTGAAGAAGTGAAACATCTATAAATTTATATATTCCCTCGTTCAAGAAATTGTTTCTAACTGGTTTGTCCAATGGAATGCACTATTTCTCCAATCTGTCATAGGAATTTACCGAGAAGCTGATTGATTCTGTATAAAACCCCAATTTCATTAACACAACAAAAAACTTGTCCACTTGATGAAATAAGTAAGAACCAACACAGCTTCTTCAGAATAGCTAATTTGCAATCTCCACTTAAACGCTATCCAAAGCATCGCTCTGCGACTCATCTTTGTTCTTTGGAAGAACCAATCTTTCCGTTGCAAGTCTCTCCTCTAGTGCCCTTGCTCCTCTTTCTCTGCAACAACAAGATTTTCACATGTTTAAGGAAGGTAAGATTTTCTTTTTGAGAATCAGAAATAGTTTTCTCACGATTTGGTTCAACAATAAGTCTAAGTCTTTCATTTTGATAAGAATGATGACAAGCCAGAACTACTATTTATTCCTCCAGTTGAGTGAATAGGATCATTATTGCATCAACCAAATCATATATTAATGTTTGACAAATTTCAGTAAACCAAAAAACGGTGTATACTAATTGTTGAAGACATAATCTGCACTACGCCCCAAATAGCTGGGAATTTGCATCCAAACTACCATTGAAGTAGAACAGGAAAGACAGGAAAAGAATTTTACCTCCTCCTGGAAGCTTCAGCAGAATCAGAACCCGGTAATGGAGCACCACTGGTAGAATAGTCATGGTCTTCGCTGGTGACATTTGATCGTCCACAAAGCATTCGATGAAAGATTGAAGCTATAGGGTCAATTATTGGTCTGCGTTTTATTGGGAAATAAAATATTACAAACAGAATATGATGCAAGTATTGATTTGTGGGGCAAACTTGAAAGTATAGTTAAAAAGTGGAGAAATATTCTTTCACCTGAGAAATTCAGGAAAGAAAGTAGAGAAGGCAAAGTCGTCACTTGGATCACCTCTGATTTTTGTTTCTGGCCTCCTCTGAAAGTATCTGAGGTATAACCAGCCCATATATGTACCAAATATCAAAGTGGGAAGATATGCTGCTGAATTCAGTGTGAAGAAGCTTGAGGCTATTGACAAAACTAGCATAATAGAGGGTAACCACTGCATACAGAAACCAGAAGCAAGAATAGAATGTGAAAACTTCTTCTAATAGCCAAAGTTAAAGTAGGAAAATATCAAAGCTCTATCATTTCTTATTACCTTTGCTTTTATCTTTAATAGCAATACCTCCTGGTCAGGTATTATCTGCTTTATCCCGACAAGGAGGCCTGCCGAGACACCATGAAAACCTGCAAAGGGCATATATCTAGCTAGGAGAAAACAGAAAACATGTTATGAAATAACACATTGGAAACAGAAAACAAAGGAAAGTTACGAAATAACACAAATCAAGAAGAAACATGTTATGCACTGGTAAAACTTGAACTAAACCCGTGCAGGGAGCAAACAAGTTATAATTTACAGCTTGAACGATTTCAACTTAATTTTTCCATAATTTTTCCATTATAACTTAATTTTTCAAGTTATAATTTTTTTCAAATTAGAATGAGAACAGAAAAAAAGAAGAAGCAGAAACTAAGTATGCAAAGTGTGATAGAGTACTTACAGGTAGATTTCCAGCCTCGTAATGTAGTATAAAGCAATTGCTGTGACGAAAACACAGAGATACGTAAGAAAGTTCACCACAAAGATGAACTTAAGGAACTCCTTTGAACCCCATACAGGTTCCAAGAACTTTCCCATAAAGAGTAGAGAAACGGTGCTGAAGACGAGCTGCGTCATTGCAAACAGTCACTCAAGTATTCAAGAACTAGAGATCAGAAATCTGGAGTGAAGAGAAACAAGTTAAAAACATACCCCATGTACTGACAGTTCGAAATAACCACTTGTTATCAGATTCCAGGCAAAAGGAATAGTCCTGTAATGAAGAGATTTTAACAAGTCAGACACGCCTAAACTAAAAAATACCAAGGAGTCATTCCGATTTCTGGATTTCACATTGTGCAACAAAGAGCATCAGAAATTCACAATATCACACTGGAATTTGAAGAACAATCAAAACCATTGTTCACATCCTATTAGAACCATATTTTCCTCCAAACCGCCAAGTAGCAGCAATTAGTATAGCGATCACGCAAAACTGGAGCAGAACAAAATCAATTCAGTAGCAAAATCGTAAGCCCTAGTATTGGCAGAATGAAACAAAAACGAAGTACCTGGCCGGAATCAGAGCAAGGTATGGGACGGTAGCGGGAACGAACTGAACCACGAGGTGTCCCACGACAAGCACCAGAGCAAGTCCTTTGCATAGCTTGGTGAAATTAGTGAACATACTCGTTCCCTGAAACAATGTAAAATCAAAGACTCGTTGATCAGCCACGACGGTTTTCAAATTCGAAAGACAAACAAAACGCGAAAGATCTCAAAGCCTCTCGACCCGTAGATCTGATATAATATCCGACCGGAGAACTCATGTCGCCGGAAATTATCAAGAAATCTGAGTAGATCTCGTCGACGCAGCTGAAACCGGAGAGATCCTTGTACTTTTTTCTCCTTACTCCTCCCACAATTAGAAATCTATATAC